GCTGTTTATAACTATGCTGGAAACATAACATAAAACAAAATAGTATCATTAATTTCTGTTGAGACTGTATATGCATGTTTTAGGTTAGCTATTTTTTCACTGCTGCACTTAGTTCAAACATTGTATTGGCAGTATTGTAAGGTGGCTTGAAAAGTTGTTTTGTCTGTGAATTTGTCCAGTTGCTCTCTCAACACATGACCAAAAGACCACTATGTGTTCAGGTGCAAAGGTTTCCACAGCACAGGTATGACATGTCTCAGGAAGTACCGCCTTGTCTTTGCTTGAACCTGCTGCTTTTAATGACACCCAATACCAGTTTTGGAGGATGGAGAGAAGCATCATATCTATTCAGCATCTCTGTGCCAGTTGTGATATGACGAGCATTCATCACCTTTCCTTGTTTATCTGTTATTTAGACTGGAGACTTCTACTTTTTACTGTCATTCTTTATATGAAGCTATTCCATAATTTGAATCATTCTTTCCATTTTTCCCAGTGCCTTCAGTACTGCCACATCACTTTAAGGTGGGAAACGGGAATCACAGCCAGTATTCAAGTCTGAATGGTGTCAGATGCCGTATGGATTTATACAGTGGCATAGTAATGCTTCATGTTTTGTTCTCCTTCCTAATAATTCCTAACATTTAATTTGGCCGTTACTGGGCATTGAACAGGTTTTCGTAGCACTATCAATTGTGTATTCGTTTCTCTGAAGTGATCTTGATTATCAGGTTGCCAACAGTGAAACTAAAAGTAAGAAAATACTATTTTCTCATAACGTAGATGTTTTATAAGTAGATTATTTAAATATGAGGATAGGTTCAGTTCTACTTTTCAGTCCTGTAGTCTTTTATATTGTGATTTCTTGATGTAATATGGTGATTGCTGCTTGTCATTCAGTTTTTTCTCTACAATTAAATTTGTATGTCTTTAATCCTCTTTTTCTATTAATTCAAACCTTCTATAGACCTATGCAAGCATATCTTAATACTGGTGTTAGGACTGCTACCAAAGAAAATGTTTGATGCACTTTCCTGTAGCTTTTAGTATTATAAAATTAATACCTGTGATACGGATAATTGGGATAGTTTTGGAGATATTTAATAACGGATCAGATACAGCAGTGGCAAAATCAATGTGAAGTTGTGTCCCATGTTGCCTCATCGATGTGTCTTATAACATGGCTTGGAGAAAAGAGCAGTTTAACCATCTTGGTCACTCAGCACTGTTTTTTCTGCTGTGTCTATCAACTACGTCTGTGTTACCGTAGCCTTTTGTCATGTGGATTTTTTATCTCCTATGAAGCTGTCTGAAACTGTCAGATCATTTCATGCAGGCCACTGTACCATTAAATATAGCGAGGGTGACATTTTTTCAGGTGCAGAGGTCAACATAATGCTTATGCATCACTTATATTTTAGCAAAACTCTTTTTTAAGGCCTTCATTCAAATTTTTGAGCAACTTTGGATGACTGACAAACCACTAACCTCACTAATTTCAGTAACTACCATATTTGGGCAAAATATTATGTAAAATGTTTCCTTTCTGATTGATGCCTTTGTTATCTGAAAAAGAGCTATTTGATTTTGCCTCGTTCATTCCTTTCTCTCATTTTGTATTTAAGTATTACACTCTCGGTTCACATACGTCAATGGGGAATAGGTTGGGTGCTTTTTAACACCAACACACTGAGATGCAATCAGAAATACATTACAAACCCACTGGCTTTAAGCCCTGCCTATAGAGGGCTCATACTGAGCCTGAAGGGCAAAAGGAGCATCCAGAGGGAAGTGAATGACTTCCTTCCACGGTAAGTGTTTCCCCTTTCTAGAGATTATTCCTGCCTCTGACATCCTCTTGTGCTGCTGCCTTGGGAATACGGTAACAGTTGTGCTGCCTGGAGCCCTGGAGAGCAGCTGGAACTCCATTCCATGCCACCTTTCCTGCTCTCACATGACGTGAATCAGTTTGGTTTAGAATAAATTTTTAATAGCTGGACATCTGGTTAGTTTGGGTTTGAATATATTTTTCTATCCATGTAATGAAGGAAAAAAGATTACTCGGGAAAATACTTGAGTTGTTATTTAATAAACCTATACAATAGTTCATATAGCTTCAAAAAGCTTTTCAGTTATTCAGCTTTTACCGATTTTCTATGTGAAGTTTTACAAATCCTGCCTTTTTATCACTAATATCGTGGTTCCTAACATTACTTGCTCCACGTATACAGAACAATAGAGAGTCTTGGCATAGCTTAGCATTCTATAAAAACTAACATGCTTTTGCTAAAAGAGAGGAAATATCTGTCTATTGTTCTGTTAGTGTAGGTGGAGTAAACAGATCTTCAGGGATTCCCTTATTGCTGTAGGAAGTTATTACAGAAGGACATTGTAACAGAGACTATGGGAATATTTACTGAAAGTTCAGTGAAACTTGAAAGCTGTTCAGCTCACTTAATAAAATGTTTATATATCCTGTTTCAGTGCACAACAAACAATGTTGAAGAAAGGAAGTTACTTCAGATCAAATGAGTTTTTATTAATCAGAAAGCTTGAAAATAACAAAACAAGTTAGATAATTTAGATCAGTCTGTTTAGATCCCCCCCCCCCCCCCCCCACAACACCAGAGCCCCCCCCCGGGAAAAAGAGAAAATTCTCCACTGGTAAAAGAAATGTGTCACTGGTCCTGCAGTAATCAGAAGGTGATAGAATACTAGTTTGACTTTAATGACTGTGACTTCAGCAGTTGGATACTTGTTTAAAAAAATAAAACATATGAATACAGTATGAATTGATTCTCTTGTCTTAATGCTCGAGTCATGCGATCCTACAGAGGAGTTCTAGTAATTTTTAACTCACTTTTCAGTTACAACTATATAAAAATATTTTACATTGTCCAAAATAAAAGCTCCAGTAATCAATTAATTTTTGTTAAGCACTTGTAGTTTTTTATCTTTGAGAGCAAAAAGACCCATTTAGAAATTTAATCGCATCTTAGCTGTAATTAAGGAAGACACAGTAATATTTTTTCTAATATAATTTGTAATAGTGCTTCTCATTTAGCTTTATATGATTTCAGAGACTTCCTGTACCCTTTTTTTCCAACAGAGAAACGTAAGAGGATTTCCAGTCTGCTGCATCTGATTAACAGTGCCTGTTGTTTTACTGCTACCAAACTGCCTTCATTTGTGTTTTCACCCTGAAGTGCTTAAGCTCATAAGCTTTGTTAGCCCGGACACTGTATGAAAACTTAACTGCAGCTTTGGGAAGCACACCACTTCATAAACCGCAGGCTTGTGAGAAAAGGGCAACGGCCGAAATGCAGCTTTAAAGCCTTCTTGTGGTTTTAGGCCAGGTAGGATGGGACTCCGTGGCCTCCTGGGGCAGGAGGTCCCGTTTGTACGCTCGACACCTACACGAGATGGGCGCCACACGTCCACTCCGCAGAGATGCCCTTCCACAGCAACGGGGTTTGCCTCGGAGCAGAAAAAAAACTAAGTGAGGGGGGAACCGGTACTAACCTAACGTTGATGACCGGTACTAACCTAACAGTACGTTTCCGAGTGTCTGTGTGCATCTATGCACAAAGTGTCGACGCGGTGAAGGAGTTCTCACAGCTGCTCCAGAGGTAGCTTTTGTGAGCCTGGCAGTGGCGGGGGTTAACCAACTTTTAAAGAGTCGCTGTGGGTGAATTTATCCATACGTACACCTATCCGTAGCTCAGGTTTTCACCTAACCTAAGGCGCGCTCGTCCCCCCGCTCCCCTCGCGTCCCGTGGCTCTGAGGAACACCGAGGCCGCTCTCCCAGAGCACCGAGGGAAGGCCGGCGACAGCACGTGAGTCCCCTCTGACGTCAGCGCCGTTCCAAAAATCTTCCGCCGTTCTAGAAACGCCACCGCTGTTTCAGCCCCAGTAGAACGGCTAACGTTGAGTTTTGGCAAGCAAAGTCAACGGGTTTCGAGCTCCACAGTGGAGGTTTTCCTCGAGGAAGGGAACTGTTGCACCGCACGCCGGAATCCCAAAAGGCTCGCTGCTCCGCTGTGAGTTGAGAGGGGCGCCGGGGAGGAGGCAGCGGCCGGCAGGGCAGCCCCGGGGACCCGCCG